ATGGGGCCTGCATGGGAGCCTATCAACAAATTCTGCAGGAAAAGGCTCAACCGTTCCATGCCAAACCTCCAGAAGAGGACTATGCACTTCTCTTGACGCTTTCCCAGGAGGCCAATTCCCTTGCCCATCACCAGATTCAGATGGCAAAACATACTGGTGACATAGCAGGCAAGATGATAGCTCACAGCAGGCAAGATGATAGCGATCTGTCAACATGCCTGGTTCCGCTCCTCTGGACTTTCCACTTCCTTGAAACAAGTTATCGAGGATCTTCCGTTCGAAGCCCTCGGCCTCTTCAACACCTGAACCGATGATAAGTTGAAGTCTAACTAAGACTTTAAACTCCTTGCTGCAAAATGCAGAATCGAAAACTAGTTGCAATCGCAAAGAACTTGCTGGTATCACCACCGCCATCATCAATATGGTAACCAACCTTACCGTCACCAATCCTTCCAGCAGAGTTCTCACCCTTCCACAAATTCTCAGCCTCAACAGCAGCAGTGCTGATCTCAACCAGCCCAAAGGTCCTGCTCCCGACAGAACGGCTCGAATGGTCAGTCCCATCACCAAGTTTGATGGTTCCATTGATGATACCACCTCCACTTTTACTATAGATGTCACCTCCACCATTTCTCGACATCTTCAACTCACCAGTCTACCTCCCAACACTCATTTTGGGGACAGGCTATCTTCATCGATGCATGGCAGTCCATCACCTCAGATGTGTGGGTTCTCAAAATTGTTGAAGAAGGCTATGTCTTAGAGTTCAAAGAATTCCCTCCCATGGGCCACGTTCTCGACACCATTCCATCTCCAGAGATCATAAAGGAGGTCAACACTTTTCTCTCCTAAGTGTGTGATTCAACCCACCCCCTCAGAATTGGACTGTTGAGCCTTCTTCTTGAGGTACTTCCCATTACCGAAGCCGGAAGGCACCCTCCACTCGATTCCCGACCTCAGAATACTGAACTACATTTGGTTGAAGAAGCTCAGAACGGTGATGGTGTCATCCATCTTTCCTCTCCTACATTACGGCAACTGCATCGATCGACCTACGAGAAGCCTACTTTCACTTGGCGATTCGGTCCTCCCACAGGCAATTCTTCTTGTTCAGAGTCTGACCACAGACTTTCCAGTTCACAGTACTTCCCTTCGGATTCATCATGGCCCCAAGAACCTTCACAAAATGCATGTCGATCATTGCGGTCTACCTGAGAAAACAAAACCTACTGCTCTTCCCTTACCTGGACGACTGGATAATCATGGCACAGTCCCCATCTCTTCTTCATTCCCAGGTGCCCACCACAGCCTCTCTTTTTGATACTTGGGGCTGAGAAATCGCACTTGACACCAATGACGTCGATAAAGTTCATCGGTGCCCTCTTCAACTCAGTCAACCAGACAGTCTCTTTTCCTAAAGCCAGGTTCCTTGCTCTTTGACGCAAAGTGCAGTGCTGCAGATTGGCCTGCAAGGTCTGAGCCAGACAGATCCAAGTCCTCCTTGGACACATGGCATCGCCCACAAAACTGTCCGGATCCTAACAGATAAGAAAGGTGGCCATGTATTACATAAACAAATATGGAGGCACAGGCTCTAGAGAGCTCTCTATGGCAATGTTGCCTAGAACACTCATAGAATCAAAGAGTTGGAAGAGACCTCATGGGCCATCCAGTCCAACCCCCTGCCAAGAAGCAGGAATATTGCATTCAAACCACCCCCGACAGGCGGCCATCCAGCCTCTGTTTAAAAGCTTCCAAAGAAGGAGCCTCCACCACACTCCGGGGCAGAGAGTTCCACTGCTGAACGGCTCTCAACAGTCAGGAAGTTCTTCCTCATGTTCAGATGGAATCTCCTCTCTTGTAGTTTGAAGCCATTGTTCCGCGTCCTAGTCTCCAAGGAAGCAGAAAACAAGCTTACTCCCTCCTCCCTGTGGCTTCCTCTCACATATTTATACATGGCTATCATATCTCCTCTCAGCCTTCTCTTCTTCAGGCTAAACATGCCCAGCTCCTTAAGCCGCTCCTCATAGGGCTTGTTCTCCAGACCCTTGATCATTTTAGTGCCCTCCTCTGGACACATTCCAGCTTGTCAATATCTCTCTTCAATTGTGGTGCCCAGAATTGGACACAGTATTCCAGGTGTGGTCTAACCAAGCGGAATAGAGGGGTAGCATGACTTCCCTAGATCTAGACACTATGCTCCTATTGATGCAGGCCAAAATCCCATTGGCTTTTTGCCGCCACATTACATTGTTGGCTCATGTTTAACTTGTTGTCCACGAGGACTCCAAGATCTTTTTCACACGTACTGCTCTCGAGCCAGGCATCCCCCATTCTGTATCTTTGCATTTCGTTTTTCCTGCCAAAGTGGAGTATCGTGCATTTGTCACTGTTGAACTTCATTTTGTTAGTTTTGGCCCATCTCTCTAATCTGTCAAGATCGTTTTGAATCCTGCTCCTGTCCTCTGGAGTATTGGCTATCCCTCCCAATTTGGTGTCGTCTGCAAACTTGATGATCATGCCTTCTAGCCCTTCATCTTAGTCATTAATAAAGATGTTGAACAGGACCGGGCCCAGGACGGAACCCTGCGGCACTCCACTGGTCACTTCTTTCCAGGATGAAGAGGAAGCATTGGTGAGCACCCTCTGGGTTCGTCCATTTAACCAATTACAGATCCACCTCACCGTAGTTTTGCCTAGCCCACATTGGACTAGTTTGTTTGCCAGAAGGTCATGGGGGACCTTGTCGAAGGCCTTACTGAAATCCAGGTACATCCACAGCATTCCCCGCATCTACCCAGCTTGTAACTTTATCGAAAAACGAGATCAGTTTAGTCTGGCATGACTTGTTTTTGATAAATCCATGTTGACTATTAGTGATGACCGCATTTGTTTCTATGTGTTTGCAGACCACTTCCTTAACAATCTTTTCCAAAATCTTGCCTGGTATCGACGTGAGGCTGACCGGACGGTAATTGTTTGGGTCATCCTTTTTTCCCTTCTTGAAGATTGGGACCACATTGGCCCTCCTCCAATCTGCTGGAACTTCTCCCGTTCTCCAAGAACTCTCAAAGATGATTGCCATTGGTTTGGAAATGACTTCTGCTAGTTCCTTCAGTACTCTTGAGTGTAGTTGATCTGGCCCTTGAACTCATTTAGAGTGGCCAGGTATTCCTGGACGACTTGTTTCCCAATTTGGGGTTGGATGTCCTCTAATCCCTCATCCACTCCATCTTGCTGAGGTTGAAGATGACCTTTTTGCGAGAAGACCGAGGCAAAGAAGGCATTAAGTAGTTCTGCCTTTTCCCTACCCCGTCAGCATTGCCCCATCTATTCCTCGAAGAGGCCCTATCGCCTCCTTGTTTTTTCTTTTTTTACTGACATAAGAAAAGAAGCCCTTTTTATTGTTTTTAATGTCCCTGGCAAGCCTGAGCTCGTTTTGTGCTTTAGCCTTGCGGACCTTTTCCCAACAGGTGATGGCTATTTGTTTGAATTCTTCGTTGGTGATGATCACGGCACTTCACCTCCCATGATCCCTGAACAGCCAAGCCGATCTTCTCAGCCAAACACAGTCGACCTCCCACAAGTGGATGCGCAACCAGTTTCAGTTCCACTTTCTATTCAATGAATGGGGTTGGCCGGATATCAACCTCTTTGCATCCTTGCCCAACAAATCCCTGTCCAAAAAACTACGGAGCCTTCGAACCCAACTACAGGCTGCCTTCCTGCTGGACTGGTCGACAGACTTTTTCCCCCATCTTCCCCCCAAATACCCCTCATCCTCAGGGTAGTCGAGAGGATCCAAGCCACAAAGGCAAACTGCATCCTGGTGGCTCCTGCCTGGCCCAGACAGACCTGGTACCTTGTCCTCCTTTACCTCTGCCACGGCCGTCTCCGCTCTCTTCCTCCCCAGCCGGCCCTCACGAGGGAACAAGGTCTTCTCCTGCATCCAGACATTCCCTCTCTCCACCTCACGGTGTGGAGAATATCATTCTAAACTCTCTTCAACCAACAATCCATTTGATCCTGAAGGCTGTCCACAAGCCAGCCACTACCAAGGCCTACTCCTATCGCCTATCTCGTTTCCATGACTTTCTTTGGGCCCAAGGTAAACTGGCATTTTCTCCATCGACACCAGCAATCTTGGATATCCTCCTTTCCCTGGCCGAGTGAAACCTCAAACTCATCTATGAAGTCCTACGTCACTGCCATCTTCTGGCATGTCCAACAGTTGGGTAAGCCTTTCCTTTTCCAAAGTCATCTCACCAAGACTTTCTTCAAGGGATACTCAAATCTCCACCCTCCCATCCACCTCGAGTTCGTCTTGTCCCATCTCACCACATCACTATTTGAACTGCTGGCTACTACGGACCTTTGCCTCCTCTCCTGGAAGGTGGCTTTCCTGGTGGTGATCACTTCGACCCATCGCCCCTTCCATATCAATGAGTCTTATGTGTTGTGACCTTTCTCTGAACCTGTTTTTTTCAGACAATACCTGTTTAGTGACATGTACCTTACATTAACTTGCAGATGTTTGTCACAATAAATCATGTTTTGGTCCTCTGTTAAGATGTCGGTTTGCATTTGTCCCACCGTCCTGGATCTCAACTTGTTAGTCTCCACATGTGTGCAATCACAGAATCCATGAAGAAAAAGGAGAGGTTTCTCACCTGTAATCATGTTTCTTTGAGTGGTATTCTGTGAATCCAAAATCCAGCCTCCCTTCAGACAAACCTTCCCCATTCTCACTGCCTTTTTAGCATAGGAACTGCGGAGCGTGTGGCCAAGGTGCCTCTTATGCCCTGGGGAGGGGAGTGGGTGAGGTTACCACCAAAACTTTAAATTTAAACTTTGGAAGTTTTCCATTGGAGCCTACACAGTTGCAGATACACTCCACATGTATGGATTCACAGAGTACCACTTGAAGAAAAATGGTTATAGATGAGTAACCTGTCAATTTCTGTTGCCAATGGCTGGTTTTTCCCCTTCCTCCTTTGCAGGATGACTTACTACCTTTGAAAGTTGTGAGTGTCCTCCACCACCTGAGCATCAAGCGTGCCATCCAAGTCCTAAGGATAAATAACTTTGAACCCAACTGTCTGCGCAGAAGACCTTCCGATGAGGTAATCTATTTTAGTATGGATACATATTAATGATATGTCACAACAAATGTTAGGACAAGCAATGCAAGTGTGTATTTTCTTCAGGTTTCTCATCTAAAGAATTTTGCCTAGTCTTGAGAAACTTGACTCCTTCCCTTAACTACCTGCTCCTGCATCGGTCACTGACTATCTGTTCTGTTTTATGGTTTCATCATAGTTTTGCAAATTGTCATTAGCTTTCAATGTGGTTATGTTTTTATATCATGTTTAGTTATTTTTATATAATTTTGTATCTTTTTACTGTGTTCATGTTATTCTGTTAGCCACCTTGAGTTCCAGGATTGGAAAAAAAAAATTATCCGGGGAGACCCTGCTCTTGCTCCCGCCAGCATCGCAAATACATTTGGCAGGGACGAGGGACAGGGCCTTCTCGGCTGTAGCACCCTGCCTGTGGAACGAGGTAAGATTGGCCATTTATAGGGCAATATAGGATTGAAAGAATCGGCCATTTATAGGACAATATGAGTTTTGTGTTTATACATTTTTCTTCATTTCCTTTCTCTTCCTCCTCTTGCACATAAGCCCTTCAGGTATTCAATTCCCTGCCTCTAAGTTTGACATAGAAAGGGGCACAACTTAGCACTGATTCATGTGAGTTTACAGATCTAGGCTCCAAAGGATACATTTGAAGGTAGAGAGTATAAGAACTATAGAGGATTGTAAAACTGAAAAATAACTGCGTTGTCTGAATTAAATGTGATTCCTCTTGGTAGAATAACTTCACGCCGTCAGAGGTTTCCCAGTGGACCAATCATCGGGTGATGGAGTGGCTGCGTTCCGTTGATCTTGCAGAATATGCTCCTAATTTGAGAGGGAGTGGTGTTCACGGTGGGCTAATGGTAAGCATGGGCCATTTTATATCCCTTTAAGAGACAACATCTGGAAAAGACAGATGCTTAAAATAGTTCCTGAGTATGGATCTCTAGAAGTCACAGGAATTCCACCATAAATATTTTATAAATATAGGATCCTGCATCAGAAGCTAGGGTGCTTCACTACAATGATGTAGCTACATTGCTGACATTATACAGCCGTGTTAGTGAACTGCAGCAGTGCACAACAAGGCACTGTGAAAGATGTCCTATTAGCAATAAGGACACATTGTGCATCAAAACATAATTGTTGAATTGGGACTGTTGCACTGTTGCAATGCTGCTGGCTCCCTGTGTCTAATGGACCCAATGGTGTAACTACATTTCCTTCACATCGAGCCCCCGGTGATGCAGTGGGTTATACCCCTGTGCCAGCAGGACTGAAGACTGACAGATTGCAGGTTCAAATCCGGGGAGAGCGCGGATGAGCTCCCTCTATCAGCTCCAGCTCCTCATGCGGGGACATGAGAGAACCTCCCACAAGGATGATAAAACATCCAAAACATCCGGGCGTCCCCTGGGCAACGTCCTTGGAGATGGTCAATTCTCTCACACCAGAAGCAACTTGCAGTTTCACGGCAAAAAAATCCTTCACATGAATATTATGAAACAACGTTACGTATTCATAAGGTTTTTTTTAAATAGTGTAATTCCTCAATGGGCTCCCAGCCATAATGTTTTTGTACTCTCTGCCTCTTTGTGATGTGTGAATGATCCTGATTTTTGGAATGGTGTGAAGTTTCTTAGTCAAAATGTTAATCTGCTTTCACTTCTGAAGGTTTTGGAACCTCGCTTCAACGTAGAGACCATGGCGCAGCTACTGAATATCCCTCCAAACAAGACGCTGCTGAGGCGGCACTTGGCAACTCACTTTAATTTGCTGATTGGGCAAGAGGCCCAGCTGCAAAAACGCGAAGCTATGGAATCGCCAGATTATGTCCTCTTAACAGCTACAGCCAAAGTAAAGGTATGGTCAGGGCTTTGGGTATGTAGCAAAGTCTTTAATGGTACTCAGTTCTTGTGGGTTTTTTCGGGCTATATGGCCATGTTCTAGAAGCATTTCTCCTGACGTTTCGCCTGCATCTATGGCAAGCTTCCTCAGAGGTGAGGTCTTTAATGGTATTTCAGAATGTGATTGAGAGATCAAGTAGTAGATCTGGTTTACTTTAGTGTCTAGTTCAATGAGAACCTGTAGCCCTCCTGATCTTCTATACTGTAGGTAACTTCCTAGGTTTTGTTAAAGAAACAATGGAGTTTTGGTAAACAATGGGTAAAGGGTAACAATTAGTCTCCCATATGGCATCACAATGTACTTGTCTCATTTCACCCTTTTCTATATTTTGCCTCTTTATGAAATCAAATATTTCTCCTTCTGGTTCTGTTTAAGTAATAGGCTATTTATAAACACTGAATCTAGAGAATATATTTTATAATGCTTAGATTCCGTTTCTTTACACATACTGCAGTCTTTGAAATGAGTTGTAACTATCCAAGAATACCTTTCAAAACAATGTTTTACAAGACTGTTTCAATTATTATTTATTTATTTTATTTCAAACATTTATATGCCATCCTTCTCAATCCCCGAGGGAGGTCTCAGGGCAGCTTATAACTGGCAATAATTCGATGCTGCACATACAAAACAATTACAAGGCAGTTACACAATAAATAAAACATTAGGTTAAAAACAATTTAAAACATTATTATCAACCGTATAGCCATTTCCAAGTTCAATTCAGCATCCAAAGACCCAATTCAAAGCCTGTCCATAGTCAATTCTCATAACATTACAAGTGCTATCATGCCTGCTGCCAGAACCATGATTTAAGCTTCTTCCTAAAGGAAAGAAGGGATGGAGCCGACCTAATTTTGCTGGGGAACGAGTTCCACAGGCGGGGGGCCACCGAGAAGGCCCAGTCCCTCGTCCCTGTCAAACGTGTTTGCGAGGATGGCAGAATAGAGTGCAGGGCCTCCCCGGACGATCTTAGACTCTATGGGGGGATATAGAGGGAAATACGTTCAGACAGGTAAGCTGAGCCGGAACCGTATAGGCCAAGACCAGCACTTTGAATTGTTCTGAGAAGTGGACCAGCAGTCAGTGGAGTTGACACTGACACTGTTCCCTGTATGTTGCTCCAGTAAGTAAACTGACTGCCACTCGTTGGACTAGTTGGAGTTTCCAAACAGTCTTCAAAGGCAACCCCACGTAGAGTGTGTTGCAGTAATCTATTCGGGATGTAACAAGAGCGTGGTGCGCCGTGGTCAGATCAGACTTTCCAAGGTACAGGCACAGCTGGCACACTAATTTTAACTGCAAAAGCTCCCCTGGCCACCTCCGAGACCTGGGGTTCCAGACTCAGCAATGAATCCGGGATCACTCCCAAGCTGCGAACCTGAGTCTTCAGGAGAAATGTAACCCCATCCAACACAGGCTGTAACCCTATGCCCTGTTCGGCCAACCAGGAGGACCTCTGCTTGTGTGGATTCAATTTCAATTTGTTTGCTCTCATCTAGGCCAACAGAGCTGCCAAGCACTGATTCAAGGTCTGGACAGTTTCCTTAGTAATGGGTGGGAAGGAGTGATAGATTTGGAATCATCTGATTTGGACAAGTTTCGGATAACACTGTACTCCAAAACTCCAGATGGTCTCCCCAGCAACTTCATGTAGATGTTAAACAATATAGGGAACAATACTGAACCCTGAGGGACTCCACAAGGCAAAGGTTGTGGGATTGAACAGGTATCATCCAGTAACACCTTCTAGGACCGTCCCTCCAGGAAGGACCGGAGCTACTGCAAAGCAAGTCCCGTACCTGTGATGTGTCCCAGAAGGATATAGTGGTCAATGGTATTGAAGCCACGGAGAAGTCCAGCAGAACCAACAGTTTCCGGCATAGATCATCTACTAAGTTCCCGGCATAGATCATCTACTAAGGCGACCAAGGCTGTTTCAGTTCCATGTCCCAGCCTAAAGCCAGATTGTGCTGGATCTAGATAATCGGTGTCTCCCAAGAACCCCTGGAGTTGTGAGGCCACCACACGTTCCATGTCTTTGCCCATGTAGGGGAAATTGGAAACTGGCCAATAGTTGACTGAGTGGGGTCCAGTGATGGTTTTTTCAACAGCAGTTTTATAATAGCTTCTTTTAAGCTGGCTGGAATCTTGCCCTTCTATAAGGAGGTATTAACCACCACCTTAACACACTCTGCCAAACCCCCTCTGGCTTCTTTTATCAGCCAGGATGGACAAGGGTCTATGATCTTGTTTCAATTGAGCTGAACCAATTAAAATGAATCCATCAAAACTGGACAAACAAATGCTCATGTGACATCCTCAGAGATTGCTGTTAATGTGGCGTCAAAATCAGAACAAATCAGAACAACTTTGTCCACAAAGAACCAAGCAAATGCTTCACAGCGAGATTCCGAGTTGTCACGGATCTCACTCTGAGGCAAATTTAACAACCGTCTGACAACTCAGAATAGCTCAGCCAGACGGTTCTTTGCGGATGCAGTATTAGCCACAAGACAAGATTTCAGTGTGGCCTTAATTGCCACATTGTGGGTCCCTTAAAAGGTGCCCAGATGTGTTTGGGCTGATCCATTTTGTTTCCAGTGCCACACATACTCTAGCCTCCTCTTCTTTCACTTAATCGCTGCCAGCTCCTAGTTGAACCAAGGGGCTGGTTTAGTTTGGTTACTTGATAGGGGGCGTTCTGGAGCGATCATGTCTATTGCCCTGGTCATCTCCTTATCCCAGAGCAAGACCAGAGCATCAACAGGGTTGCCTACCAAGGAGGCAGGAAAATCCCCAAAAGCCGTTAGGAATCCACTGGGATCCATAAGTCTCCTGGGGTGGACCATTTTAATGGGTCCACTAGCCCTGCAGAGGTTAGGAGGCACAGTAAGTCTAAACCTGATCAGGTGGTGGTCGGTCCATGGCAATGGAGTGATGGTCAGCTCCTCCATCCCACCACCTTCTTCCCATCCCTGACAGAAAACCAGATCGAATGTGTGCCTGGCACTATGGATGGGATCAGATACTAATTGGGACAAGCCCATGGTTGCCATGGCAGCCATGAAGTCCTGAACCGCACCTGATGGAGTGGTCTCGGCGTGATCATTGACGTCCCCCAGCACTATGAGCCGCTGGGACTCCAGTGCCAGGGCTGAAACCACTCCAGCTAGCTCAGGTAGGAAGACTGTAGTTCAGTGGGATGGTCGATACATTAATGGAAACCCTATCCTGTCCCACTCACCAACCCTTAGGCAGACACATTCAAAAATGGGGCACCTGGTCAGGGAGATAGAATTCTTATTGACCACTGTGACTCCGCCTCCTCCTCTCCAGATCTTGACTGGTGCTGCACTGTAACCTGGTGGACAAAACTGGGAGATATTAACCCCCCCTAGGCTCGTCCAACCAGGTCTCCTCCTCATTGTAAACAACTACAATTTGATTCTTCTCTTTCAGCCAAAGAAACTCGCTTTTAGTAATTTTGGAAATTTAAGAAAGAAGAAGCAGGATGATGGGGAAGAGTATGTGTGTCCAATGGAATTGGGACAGACATCAGGGATTGGATCAAAGAAAGGGTTCAAGACAGACCTAGATATGAGAGTGTATGATGATGATGACCTAGACAGACTGGAACAGGTAAGGGTCAGTACAATTCAGATTTCATGTAGTGTTATGTTGAAAAAAATTATTTCTTTGTGTTTGCTGTTTATTCTGTCTTCTCTTGATATTGCAGTGTTCTTCAGTTTGAATGTAGTAAGCAGTCCTGTAGTGTGTCATTGCTATAAGTTTCTGACTCTTGGTAAACTTGTTTAGGAATTGTTAATGTGCACTCAGATTTTGACTTTTAAACAACAGGAGAATTTGAAATTTCTAGCAGTCAAACTCCTTGATGTAACTGAAGTTTTTTTTTTTGTATTGTTGAAGTTTTTTTCTTCACATGTAAAGTGGGACTGAGGAACTTTTGCCCTTCTAACTGAGGTTGCACTCAATTCCCTGTCATTCTTGATGATGGTCAGCTACATGCAGCTAAGGATAGTTGGAAGTCTAACATGCGCTTAAGGTGGTCTTCACTGGATTATCCTATGTTCTTGTCAGAAGAACCGTGAGAGATGTTAAATATTGCAAGGTAGCCCCTGAGTCTTGTGACTGAGCGCTGATGAAGAACAAGGACCAAATCCAGTTGCTAAGTTCACCTAGATTTCCTGGAATTTATAGTAGTGTTAATGTACAAAAATTTCAATTGATTCAGTGGATCTACTCTAGGTGGGAAAATACAGTTACTTTCTAGTTCAACTCACCTTTTCCTTATCTAATTCCTCAGATTCCCATTGTCAACGTTTGCAGCCCTACCCTTCCCATAGCAAATGTTCCAATCAATTAAAACAATGAACAGCTTTTGTGCCTATGCTGCAGAATCTTCCCCTCTTGTCCCTATTTAAGTAGATTCACTAGCCTTCTTGTGCCAATAGTTTCAGAGCCAACTTAGTGTTTCAGAAGATATTTTGTGAAATGTATCTTCTTATTTTATATTCTTTTATGAGGCTACAGAATATTTTGTGTGAATGTTTTCATCATCAGTTTGCTCTGCAGCCTCTTTATGGTTCTGCTTGCTGTGATTCTTTGGTTGGGTGATTTTCACTCCTACTTCACCTGTTGAGTCTTTGCTAGTACAAAGCTAGCAAGCCACAGGGGCAAAAATGGAAGCAACCATTTCTGGATTTCTCAAATAGCAGTAGAAACTATGAAGTTGGCTTAGAGAAGTGAGCCACCAACTTGTCTAATTCTCCTTGAATCTTCTGTGAACCTTGCCATCTCACTCAAACATTGGATAAGACTATATAGTATAGCAGTTAGCTATTTTGTAATTCTACTGTAATCTAAGAAATGCTCTTGTTGTCCCTATATTACATATTTACAAGTCGACTGGATGAATTTATATGCGTAATTACTATATTGTTTATGGTTGCAGATGGAAGATTCAGAAGGTACCGTGAGGCAAATAGGGGCGTTCTCCGAAGGCATCAACAACTTGACTGTAAGCTCTTCAAGAATTAATTTCATGTGTAGATTCTTCTGATTTGGCTAGTCCTCTTGTCTTAAGAGGTTCTTCAGTAGAGCAGGCAGGTTGGAGATTGTGCGTGATTCAGCATTTGATCTTTGACAATCTCTTGGCAGTTCTTCAGTTAGGATGGGACCCAATAAGGCTCTGCCAGATTGGAAGCAGCTGCTTCTCACTCATTTGAAAATATACCTAAATCTGAGTTGCAGCCTTGAATCTCATGTAACTCTGCACCTGGGATATGCCATCCTTTCTTACAGTGCATTTCACATAGCCTCTATAATCAGTTGATACTAAAGTGCTATGCATGCACAAATCTGATTGCATACACCTTCCTTTGTAAAGAGACTTTTGTTGAATTTGATTGTAGCAACAGAGACTAAGAAGCCTGCCAGGCCTAAGGGCTGAGAAAAGCGGTATATAAATGAAGTAAATAATAATAATAAATAATCTTCATTACCATGATAATTAAATTCAGTATTTTAAATAATTGGAAAATCGTATTGCAAAAATATAGGCCCAGGGCAAATGTTCTATTCAGCCTACTCTGTTGCCAAAAACTGAAAGTACAGAAAATTAAAGAGTTGTAGAACTGTAACTCATTTCAAATTTTAAAGGCTATACGATTTTAAGCAAGATAAACTACTCAGATGTAAAGCTTATATCACAATCCTTACTATTTCGGTTATATTATTTTCTTACCTTTCGTAAGAGCTACATAATTAGCAACCCTCTCTTTTAGAGGAGAGAAGCTTCACATTCTAGCACACATAAATCTCTTTTAACTTGCGTTTTGTGAAGAATGTATAACATTGTCAAATTTCAAATATTGGAAAAGTCCACTGTTGAACCAACTGTTCTTTGAATGAATCAGATTGACTAGTTGATGAGTGGTATTTTTATCTTCACCTTCAGCCAAAAATGTTCTTTGAGTGATTTGTATACATTAAATGACAGCTTTACTAGCCAGTTTACAATTTAAAAAGACACATAACATAGTGGGGAACAGGGACGAGGGGGAAAATAGAACCGGGGCTATTGGAGTGATCTTACGCTTTTCTATCACATCACCCTCTGCTTCAAGCCTCCTGTGGTGACATCTGAGGAAAGCAAGATGGATGGAATAGGCCTCACCACATCATCCTAGGTCTAGGGATGTCTGGTGTTGTCTATAAGGACGTTATCACATTATGAAATACTCAGTTTCTGAGGCTGTTTGAGAATGATTTTGAACAGGTCTCATCACATGACGTTTGCCCCATCCCGTCAGTATTCAGTCAGAATCCATCTGGAAAGTGTCGCCGAAATGAAATATTTACAGAAAGAAATCTAATCATGTTTTTAAAAATACTATGGATTCTTTTGTTGCTGAAGCACTGGTTTTTTTATATATATAGAAAAAGCAATTATACTTTTTAAAAGGTCATAGAGTGATGTAGGGGTGTTTTGAATAGATTGAGAGGAGCCAGTCTTCCATGGTGTGAGAAGTCAAAGTGCAGTATTTTCAAATGATAAGAATCGGAATAATCAGGTGTGATGAAGAAAGTATGCATCTCATCTCAATATAGTATGCATCCAGTCCTAAAAGAATATGGGATGCATACTAATATAAATTGATTATATCCCATTGTGATAAGGTCCCAAGTCTTAGTCAGTGTAAGAAGATGGTCTTCCCCAATGAAGTCCTGGAAACTGCTCCTTGAAAGCTCTCTAGTGCAGTTTTCAGTTGCCTCATTTATAGTTAGATCTGTGAGCCGTGTAAACCACTATTCCAGTCATTTTCCCAGTACTTCAAGGATAAATCTTTTTGATTCTCATTAAATTCCTTTAACTGGGACCATTTGGGCCTGGATTGTTTGAGTTGAAGACGTTCTACTTGCCAAGCATCTGCTTTATCATAGAATTCCTGCCTCTCCTTGTACTTGAGTTGAACAAATGAACCAAGGCTTTAATCCTTACAGCCTTGGTCTGCCTCATCTCTTTTGCAGTACAGACAGACCCTGTGTTACAAACATTCAACTTATTTATTTTATTTATTTAAAACATTTATATTCCATCCTTCTCACCCTGAAGGGCTGAGTACAATACACAAATAGCAAAGATTCAATTCCAGGACATAAATAGATTATAGACATACATAAATATTAAATCCAAACATTAAAATCCATTGTTTAAAACTGTCTCAATCATCTGTATCAAATCTGGTTGGCAAGGTAAGGTTCCCTATTGCTGCCTTATTACACTTTCCCAAAAGCTTGTACTCACAGCCAAGTTTTCACCATCCCTCTAAAGGAAGGAGGGAGGGAGTTCCATAGCTGGGGGGCAATCACTGAGAAGGCCCTCTCTCTCGTCCTTGCCAAACGTGCCTATAACAGTGGTGGGATGGAGAGCAGGGCCCCCCTGGAGGATCTTAATCTCCACGATGGTTCATAGATGGAGATGCATTCGGACAGGTAAACTGGGCCGGGGCCATTTAGGGCTTTATAGGCCAAAGCAAGCACTCTGAATTGTGCTCAGTAGTAAACTGGCAATCAGAATATGGCTTTGCATAGGTGCATGCCCGTATTCAGTCTGACACATGAAATGTCTGCCACACACCCTAGAATCCTCTTCATTCACTTCATCACTGCCAGCTCCTCGTTGAACCCAGGGGCTGGTTTAGCTCTGCTACTCAAGAGGGGTCGTTATGGAACGATTGTGTCTACTGCCCTCCCCATTATAAAGAGCGACCAGAGCATCAACAGAATCACCCACCTTGGTGCTGGGGAATTCCTCAAGAGTTATCAGAAATCCTTCTGAATCCATAAGGCTCATGGGGCGAACCATCTTAATCCCTAACCATTGCAGAGGTTAGGGAGTGCAGTGAGTCTAAATTTGACCAAGTGGTGGTCAGTCCATGGCAGTGGAACTAAAGAGAGTTCCTCCACACCACCACCTTCCTCCCATCCCTGACAGAACACCAAGTCCAGTGTATGTCCAGCTCTGTGAGTAGGGCCAGAAACCACTTGGGACAGCCTCACAGTTATTATGTTTACCATGAAATCCTGAGCCGCTCCTGACAGAGAGGTCTTTGCATGAAGCTCTAAAAGCCATTGGGACTCCAATGCCAGACCCGATATCACTCAGGTAGACTACACTATAAGTATCCCTATTCTGTCCCAGTCTCCTACCCTCAGGTGGATGCATTCAAATGAGGGTGTGTGTGGGATGTGGCAACTTACAGATGGCTCCTAGTTAAGAATGGGTGCGACAAAACAGGAAGTGGAGAAATCTACCCCTCAGAAGGGAAATTTATTTCTGGGAGAAGTAACGTGGAAAAGGGGTCTCCACTAAAATTTTAGTGCAAAACCTTATTTCCACAACAGGCCATTTTTTTTTTCAAAATCCAAATATCACAGCGACAGAAAGTAAGGGAAATGGGGCACAGATAGCAAAACTAACACCACAGGGTTTGTTTTCCAAAGTTAAAGAATATATATTTTTGGCTGGAGTTACTCTTAAAATGTACCTGTTCTGACTTACACACAAATTCAACTTAAGAACAAACCTACAGAACTGATCTTGTTTGTAACTTGGGGACTGCCTGTATAGCCCTCCCCTGGGATCTGTTCTTGGCAGTGGCTGGGTACTATCTACACCTAAAGCATGATTTGTGCCACTGATTTTGCCATTTGGTAAACATGGGAATATATTGCTGACTTCTATGTCCCTTTGCTCTTGAGCTTCTTTAAGCATTCTAGTTCTTTCATTTTCTCTGTTTTCAGCACATGTTAAAGGAAGATGAAATGTTCAAAGACTTTGCTACACATTCACCTAACACCAGTATCACAGATGAAGATTCAAATGTGTGACAGTATCAATGCTGAACCCATCTGTTTTGTGATGTCAAATGCCAACTTTGTATGTAATTGATACAGTGCATCAAGTAATTTGGGTCACTTTTGCTTCAAACAGACAATTTTCAGGGGATCAGAAGGACAAGAGGTGCCTATAGTAAACTTGCCATAAATAAGGGGAGACAACACCCTAGGTAGTGGGGGAAAGATATTATTTATCTTTAATGTAGAAACTGGTTATATATTTTAGAGCATCTCTTGGATATGACCGTATTGCCATAATACTCCTGTATTCCTGTACATAATGTGCCATAACACCTATCTCCAAACGTGTCTTTCTCTCTTCTTCTTCGAGTAATAGAAAAGAAAAAAGAAACAGCTACAGATCTGGAATCAGCATTCATTTTAGATATTTCTGCTGCAACAACAAAACCATCCTTGAGGTTTTTGATATCCTGTATGAATAGCTGATGAAAAGTAAATAACACTCATCCCTGATATAAAAAACCAGTTCATCTTATTTTTATACAAGTTTTATTTTAAAAGAAAACAAAATGTATTGAGTACATACAAATCCAAAGTTTTATATTGTGATGTAATGTGATGACTTTTTTTTAAAGAGAGTATTCCAGTTTGAAAACCAGCTGGATACTGGAGAAGTCAGACTGATAACTTGTTCCTGTCCCTTAAGTAATGCCTGCATTCTTATATTAGGAATGAAAACTGTGATACTTTTCTGCAACAATGAACATCTTTGTCTTCACCTTTTACTAGTTTTAAAACAGAATTTAAGGGGTTTTTTTTAAAAAAAGAAATTTTTGTGGCAAGCATGATGCTGATATTTTTTCAACTGTAAACCGCTCCGAGCCAAATTGGGAGTAGCGGTATACAAATTTAAAAAATAAATAAATAACTGAGAAGCAGTCTGCTGCTTCTGTGCAGCCTTTCACATCCTGCAGTAGAGGTTTTTTTTAATTTTTGTGGAAGAGAACGTTAATTAAGTCATATTATTTTACAGTTTTAACTCTTGCCTTTGAAGTACAGCTGACTATAACATAACAGGCGGACTGGTTATACTTCATTTATATAAAAAACAACATTTATTGACTTAATAAAAAACTCGAATTTCTAAAATTCAGATTACCCTGTAAAAAGTTGGCCAAGCTTTCGACAGAATATAATTGACTCCGTCTCCCTCTTTTCATCTCATTCTTACCCTTAAATACTGCAATTTATTACTTACACTAAAAAGTTGATCGTGCAAACATTTGAAAACACTATTTGAAAGGAATTACTCCTACTGTTGGTGCCAATTTCTGTTGGTGCCAATTTGGATCCAAATTGGTGCTAGTAATCCAAGCTGGAGTGTAAAGCTGAGCTTTTGAAATGTTCTCAGGTATTCCTAGTTGAGACTGACATCTCTAGGCCAATCTATACATTCAGCTAAACCTTGACACATAGATTTCTTAAGAATATATACTCTTTTGTGTTAAATTTCTGGTCTTGAAATGTTCTGCCTAACATACATTTAATGACAATTGTGGAGCTTGTTTCCAAACCCCCCAAAATTAAAAAGTGGATTATAAGTGACAGCACATTGTTGGCCAGGAGTAGAATATTATACACAAATCAAAACTATCAAAATGGGTCACTTTGGTCCAGGGTTTAGTAAATGGTCTTTGGAGCAAAGGATTGCATATCCTCAGCATGTTTTTTATTCCTGCAAAATTTGTTCAGATGGTTTTGCAGTTGTCTGCAGTTATCTTTACCATTTAATCATCAGGTCGTTGCCATTGGAATGGCCTAAACCCAACATTTGGTTTGTGGATAACTTTATTTATATGCCCCGCCACCATCTCCCCAGGGGGACTCGGGGCGGCTTACCAAGAGACAAGCCCAAAGATTACAGATAAAAACAGAGACAAATTAAAATCAATCAAATAAAAAAATAAAAACATAGCACAGTCACAAACATCATAAAACAGTATGGCTGAGATAAAAGTCAAAACTGAGTTCAGACTCAAGGTTTTCTGCCATCAGTTCTACAGATGGAAGTAGTTCTTTCAGCAGAAGGACCCTGTTGGACTCACCAATGCATTTATTGTGGATTCTCAGTCCAGAGTAATATGGGTTTTATAAATGATTTTTTACTCCTTTATTATATTTGGTATCAGACCATTTTCCCAGTAAATGCAGATAACACTATTCGACAATTATTTCCTTTACTGTGAAATGTATTTATGAATTAAGGAATTCACCTCCTGTGCCTATACAGAAAAAAGACAAACATACCTACCAGCAGTTCCATAAGATCATTTAGTAAAAAAGAAAAAAAAAGCCTATTGATAGGTATAGAGGGCTACATCCGATGTTAATCCAACTTTGAATAAAACTGTTGAAGCTAATTGGGCTGAAGTTAGTTGTGGCTAACAAATTCTATTAATTTCAAGGAATCTATTATGGTAGGTTAGAATTGGGTTGGCATGATGTTAACTGTCACATAGAAATTGGTTTGATGTTCTGACAAGTACTGTTCACATAACTGAAATATGAACAGAGTCTTCAAGAGTAATTGCCAACACACATGGAATTATCAATAATCAAACAACAGTGGTGAAGTTTTGTTTTATATCTTTAAAATATTGCATGCATGAACAACATCAGATTTCTCTTTTTAAAAAAATGATGTAAATTTGAAATTGGTTTAATTTTGGTTGTCATTCTGCCAGTTGATTTATTTCTATGGGATCTGGGAGAAGGAAGAGTAATATAAAACACTCATCGTTGAGCCAAGTGGTTAATGCACACAGGTATTTTGTTGGGTTGCATGTATACAAAAAGGTTGGTGCAAATGTATATGTATTGCCAGTTAAAGTAAATAAATAAATACCTATTAAGAGGAAAAAAATGCTTCTAGATATTTGTTTTTTGTTTGTTAAAAAAGGAAGAGGAAAATATCATTTTGGATCAGGCTGAAATTGTGGCTGTCTAACTGTTTGAGTCTTGGTACAGGGAACATAAAACTCTGTTCTTACAACAGCTCCACTAGCCATAGGTTTAGACCAGTGATGGGCAACCTTTTGAGTTTGGTGTGTCAATACTCGCCAAAAAACTGAGCATAACTCGAGTGGGGTGTCACTTCGAGAAAAACCCATAATTTCATGATATTTATAGTTTAGTAAAAAAAATATATTATTGTAATATATAACTGTATTTAATAAACCAAAAACTAATTATTTAAGTTATCTGCTTTTTCTATAATGCCATATATCTCGGCATTATAGAAAAATGCTGGTGTAAAAGCTGAGGATGAAATGTCCTTCTTGGGATGCAGCCCCATCTTCTCTGTATGCGGCCGCATGTGGCTGTGTGTCATCGAAAATGGCTACGCATGTCAGTGCTGACACACGTGTCATAGGTTCGCCATCATGGGTTTAGACGCTGGCTATTATGACCTATACAATCCTTTGTGGCTTGGGCCCATGCTAACTGAAGTCCTACATATTTTGATATGATCCCACTTAAAATCTTTAAAATCTTCCAGGGAAGTGCTTATCAATATTCTTCCACTTTCAGAGACACATTTGGTGGAAATGTGGGAGAGTGAGCCTTCTCCAAGCTTCCCTTCTTTGTTGTTCTTTCGCCATTGAGTGAATATTTCTCTATTCCAACAGGAATTTGGGTACTGATTCATCTATGCACTGGTTTTTCTACTATAGCATTATACTGTTTTGTTTTTTTTTAATTCTTTATTGAAAATTTCTAGATACATAAAATGTGGGGGAGCATAGTTTAAAAAGTCACAGTAAGAAAAGGACAGAGGTCTAGGGTTAAAGGTGGGGGTGGGATAAAGATAAAGAAGTACATTCACACCACATTTATACGGAGAGGAAAAGAAGGGAAGGGAAATCAAGGATAAAAAAAGGTGAAGGGAAAGGGGAGGGGGAAGGGATGGTGGGGAAAGAGGGGGGGAGAAGAAGAGGGATTCGGGGACTCGCCCTCGCACACATACACATACATTCATTTCATTCATACAAGGGGAATATAGGACTTATGGGAATGCACTTTCAAGTTAACCAGAACGTGAAATCCTTCTCTAGTTCCGGGCTTATGCCCCATCGTCTATTATATTCACAGTCCTCACGTTATAGTAGTATCTTCTACACTTCTGCTATTTCGGTAGATTTCATTTATTTTCATTTTTTAGATAATTCAGACATTTATCCCAATCTGTGTTCTTCATCTTGTTATTGTGTCAGGATGTGGCCTTCGAGTTAAGAAAATACAGCCAGAGCCTCCTCCGGGCCTCGAAGTCTCCCTCCTGACATCGTTGTGTTTTATGGTTTGATAGGGGAGCCATCTGGAAGAAGAGAATGCTTTGTTGTTGTGGGAATGGAATGTAGCCACAACTTGTGATAAGGGGGGAAGAAGGGGGGAGGAACCAAGGGGGATGTATTGCTGGACATTGGCGGGAAACCCTCAGATCTCTCTTTCTACGTATCCTGTATAGACTGAATAAACCCATGTTCAAGAAATTGGCCTTGTGAGCGTGGTTTTGTTCTAAGATCTGGCAGGAGCTGACATATTGATGGGTGAAAATCTTTGAGTGAGTAAGTCCATATTCATTATGTCGAGTGCCTTCAATGTCCATTGTTCCACTGTGGGGGTTTCTTTAGATTTCCAAAATTGGGCTAGTTTGATTCTTGCAGCTGTCATAAGGTAGAAAAAAAATCTTGTTTGTGTTATTGTCCATAGCGAAGTCGGTGATACCTAACAAAAAATATTCCGGCTTAAAGTCAAATTTCATATGTGTAATTTTTTCTGTTTCTTTGTGGATTTGATGTCAGAAAGTCTTTATTTTTTTGCATCTCCACCACATATGTATGAAGTTTCCTTTTGTTTTCTTGCACTTCCAACATTTCCCATCTGTTTTTTTTAATTGAATTTCGCTATTTGTTCTGGGTTTAGGTACCATCTGTAAAATAGTTTGTACCAATTTTCTTTGTAACCTGTTGAATATGTGAATTTCAATTTTTTTTATCAGATCTCTTCCCACTCTCTTAGGCTGATTGACCGGCCTATGTCTCTTGCCCAGCTTATAATATTCTCTTTCACCTGTTCTTTCTCTGTTGCCCACATAAGTGTCCAGGCCCTCAGTTATGGTGCTGAAAACTAGGGTCCTGACGTAAGACTTTGATAAGAACTCTGCAGCTGTCGACCTTGGAAGACAACGGTTTATAGTATGGCGGGAACATTGCATGGCGTTTTCCACTTGGCGGGAATTGTACCTTCAAATGAGGGGGAGTGTATATAAAGAGAGACCAGCGGCTGCTGATCAATCTCAGCTTTTCACATGTCCATGTATCCAGTAGTAAAGATTTTCTTTGATAACGGATCAAGGTCCTGTATCTTCATTGGGAACGGCTGCTGTGAGCTGACACATAAGTAGTTGTTGGTATATTTTTCTAATTATCTTCTTGTCAGTTTTTAATATTTTGTCCCAGAAG